CCCGCCCAATAAAGTGCCCCAAAAATCCTTCCTTCAAGTCAATTTTCCCCTCTCCGGGCAGATTTTGGAGGTCTAGAACCACAAAAGCACCTCTGAACGTACCCTTGGGTTTGGTGGCTACGTAGGGATGAAAGTATGAGGGTTCGATTCCCCAAAAGAGCATGCTTTTACTAAAAACATTTAATTTTTCTTTTCTTTTTTTCCAGAGAAACAAGCTGGAGAACTCCGTAAGTTCCATCCTTGTTCTTCCCCGCGGTCTTTCAAAGAGCAGAAATTTTTGTTTTGGGGGTGGGTGGGATCGGTCTTCCTCAGTTTTATTACCAAGACCCCACCAACATTGATTGCAAAACTCTCCCAGGGTCTAAAATAACGACGAACTGGACCAAAAAAAAAAAAAAAGAGATGTCCAGGTCCCCATTTTGATGCCTCGATGTCATAAAATCGATTAAATTTGAGTCTATTAAACCAAAACATGCCTGGGACTGGTCTGCAGCCCTGGGGCCACCACCCCAAATTGCCCCACGTCCCCTCGGCGCGGCAGAGGAACCTCTTGCGATCACGTCTGTTCGGTTTCAGGGTGGAGAAACGCCATCGTCCCGGTGGAAGAAGGTACCTGGAGGGGGTGGCGGGTCTCGCGCTTTGCTTCTCCGTGGGTCTCTCCCCGCAGCTGGGAGGGATGGACAACTCAAGGACTGAACCTCCGCACCCCAACTCCTCTGATGTTTCCTTTTCCCACCAAATCAGCATTTTTTTCTGTCTTTTTTTGGGGGCTGTTTCTAAAGCCCCAGGGTCTTGACGCCCAACGTAGCGTGGTTGGAAGCCAGAGGAGGGTACGGAGCTGGGATGGTCCCAGCCAAAACTCCCCTGGGAAGAGGGTTGCGGGATGGGGAAACTCATCGCGTCTCCACGCCCAAGGGTGAGGCCCTTGGTTCCTCCCCAGGAGGTAGACCAGGATATTTAATAAGGTTCCTCCTCAATTAATTGAGTTTTGGGTCCGTTCCGTGGTAGAGCACGACCCACATCCACACCTCGAGGCCCCTTAGCTCCCCAAAACGGGGCAGCCACCCCCCAACCAGCACTTGGCCGATGCGGTCTCCCAGAGGAGGCACCATCTGGGACCACGCTAGAGGTGGTAGTAGTAGGAGATGGGACCAAGCTCTGGCAGCGCCGAGCACTCGTGGTCCCACAAAACGTTTCTCCAAGGATAACCAACCATAGGAGACCCCCCGAAGGCAGCCGAGATCTTCAGCCGAGCTTTCTCCTTCTCCCTGCAGCGCACGTGACGCTGGACGCGGACACGGCGCACCCCCAGCTCATCCTCTCGGCGGGGGGGGAGAGCGTACGGCGCGGAGACACGCGGCCAGACGTGCCAGATAACCCCGAGAGATACGACACCTACCACTGCGTCCTGGGCCAGGAGAGATTCGTCTCGGGGAGATACTTCTGGGAGGTGGACGTGGGGACGGTGGAAGGGGGCGTCTGGGCAATGGGGGTGGCCAAGGAGTCCATGAAGAGGAAGGGGTGGATCAACCCAGCTCCTCAAGATGGGATCTTGGCTCTTTTCCACTGCGGGGGCAAGTATTGGGCTTTGACCTTCCCCGACCACACGGCTCTCGTCCTCACCCAGATGCCCCGGACGATTAGGGTGTACCTGGACTTTGAGGGACAAAAGGTGGCCTTCTTCAACATTGACAACCAAGACCTGCTCTTCACCTTCCCGCTGACCCAGTTGAGCGGGGAGACGATCCGTCCCTGGTTCCGCGTGGGGCCGAACGCCGAACTCAACCTGAAGTCACCTCCTTCTCCACCGCGCGTCCCCAGCGTGGAGGAGCCTCTCCTCCCTTCGTGTTTCCTCCTGAAGAACCTCTCTAGAGGAGGACGGGCCCCGCACACGCCAGAGAGCGGCACGTGACCAAGACGGGACAATCCACGGTGCCGTCCGCGAGCAACCGTGATCGTCACCCAAGACTCTTCCACTCACGTCGTGCCACCACGGTGTCCCAAGACTCGTGCCACGATGGTGTCTCCACCCGAGCAGAGCTATCGCTGCTCCTGTTGGAGCTTGCAGCAGGACGTAGCGGTGGCTAAGACTCATTTGTCTTCTCCTGAGGTGACGTCTCCAAGCGAGCTGCTTTCTCCTAGAAGGTAAAGAGACCAAACCAACAAGGGTGTTGGAACCCACCTGAGATACATGAAGGAAAACCCCACCAAGACGAGAGTCTGGGAGGAAGGAGCTGCACATCTCCACCCTCTTCCTTCCCGCTTTATCTCCAGTCCCCAAAGTCCCATCAAACGTGGCCAGTTTAAGGGGGGGTGTGATGGTCTCTGTTGTGCCGTTCCTCTCGCAGGGGGATTCGTGGTGCTCGGTTCCTGACGTCCACCTCCTCACCGGGTGCTCCAATATATTTACAAAATACGCTCTTGCCATTAAAAAACCTTTCTCCTTGACGGCTTTGTGGGTTATTTGATGGGGAAGAAGGGTCCTGCAGAGCAACCAGCTCCGGCCAAGGGTCCGGATCATCCGGCAAATCCACAGGGATGAGGCAAATCCAGGGTCAAGCCAGGAACCAAGTCTGCAGATGAAGAAGAACCACGGGCTGCAGATGAAGAAGAACCTTGGGCTGCAGATGAAGAAGAACCTTGGACTGCAGATGAGGAAGAACCACGGGCTGCAGATGAGGAAGAACCACGGGCTGCAGATGAAGAACCACGGGCTGCAGATGAAGAACTACGGGCTGCAGATGAAGAAGAACCATGGGCTGCAGATGAGGAAGAACCACAGGCTGCAGATGAAGAAGAACCTTGGGCTGCAGATGAGGAAGAACCATGGGCTGTAGCGCGGCCTTGGCCATGGCTCCTCCAACATGGTGGAGCATCCAGGGCTGGGCTTAAATAGAGCCCTTGGGCCATCAGCTTGTCCAAGATGGGGCTAATCAGGGTCACGAATGCTAATTAGCACCCTCGTGGTCCTGATAACGCTGCCCGGCGATGGAGTTGCATCTCCTGAACCTTCTGCTGGTGACGTCCGAGCCCTGTAGGCATCTCCAAGGGGTCCGCGTCCCATTGCCACGTGTGTCCTCCCTGGTGGGACTAAATGTTAAACCCAAA